CGGGGCAGGGCGGAGCGGGGCGAGCTGGCAGCGGGCGGAGCGGGGCGAGCTGGGGTCACTGCTGCTGCTGCCGGAGCCTGAGCCCGAGCCTCGCGATGCTGAGCCAGAAAGAAATACAACGCGCACTTCCCGCCAGTGAGTGCAGGCCCGACCCCTGCTGCTGGCGCCAGGCCCACCGCTAACCCCTAGCCCCATCCCCGGACCAGCCTGGCCCCCCAGGCACCCCTAACTCCACCCCACCGGGCTGGCCTAGGGCACCCCACACGACACATGCACACTGAAGCAGGGGGGCCACAAAGCACAGGGCCCAGAGCGGTCGCCCCGATTCACCGTACCCAATGGGGGTCATAGAGAAGTGGTAAGATAGCAGGACTTTGCACTCGGGTAGTCCTGTTCACCTGTAGATCTCAAAGCTCTTTACTGAAGGGAGCACAAAGGGGGAAACAGAGGCACCAGCCCTGGGTTCGCACCACCACACCACCCCGCCTCCCCCTTCTTTGGTAATTACTAGACAATCTCACCTCTTCCACTGGCGCAAACTTGACCTGCACATTGAGTCGCTCCCCTGGAGCCAGCATTCCAGACGAGGGGATCATCTCAAAGATGTGGGGCTTTGATTTGAATTCCTGACGCAGCCTCCGCCGCAGGCTGGCTGGCAAGTGTTTATCCACCTGATCGCCCAAACCCAAACGATTAGCTCAGACCCTGAAACACTGCTACAGCCCCAGCCTCCCTAGAACACGGACCAGCCAAGTAGCCAGTCAGAAACAGCTGTTTCAGTTAGCCAATGAGAAACACAGAAGCATGTTACAGTTCAGGCTGGGGATGAAGAATGACAAGGAGATGGCCAGGGAATTAGTAGAGAGACAAGGCGCTAATAGATGACAAGTTCCAGACAATCAGAGCCAGCTCCAATTACCCAGGTTCTAAAACCACTTGACTCTTGATGATAGTTACAAGAAATAAACAGTATGGGTAGAAACTTCAAAACAGACGAGGGGATGCTGAGAACGGGTCTTCTCCCACCTCCTCCCCCATCTCCAGCTGAGCAATTCCTCCTCTTCTCTCTCCTCTCTACAAGTCCCTTAGTGCAGGGACCAGCCATGGCAGAGGAGGGCTGCATGAGACTTTCTTCCGAGCTCACCAATGCTGGCCCTTGCTTCGCTACCAGAGGTGCTGCAGAGTATCATTCCCTCTTCCCACAATCCCCTGGGCAGTCTTGTGCTCCCTGCGTCTCCTGGCCTGAGGAGTGACGCCTGGGGCTCAGGAATCAAGCACGTTCCTGTTTGCAGAACAGAGCATGAAAGGGCGCTAGGCTGTCCCATCATGTTCTTAAAAAGGGAATTCCCACTTGGCTCACAGCTTTGATATTAGCAGCTCAAATGTATCAGCTCAGCAAATGTCATCAGCTGTTCGCCTGTTGGGTCTTACAATGCACCCAAGGCCTCGTCAGCCGACTCTCTTGCTGGAGCAGGCTGGTACTCTGCTGTAGGTCCTGGGTCTGCAATCCTTACGCACTGAGTCACTACTGAGGGAAGTGCTACTCTGTGCAGAAAGGGTTGTGGATTGAGGCCTGAGGGCACAACAGGGAGCGGCAGTACAGGAAGGAGGCAGGGACGTCACTGGCGGTCTTTGCTTTACCTTTTTGATGCGCTCATTGCTGGTGATGAACCATTCGCAGGCGACCTGCAGCTGATTGTGGAGCTGGATGGTCTCCACCTGGCACTGCCCACACTGGACGGAGGAGAAGTCCAGCTTGTTGCTGGAGATGCAGAGCGAAGGCATGGTCACCTTGGCACGAAGGCAGATGTTAAACGTCGGGCCAGCCACAACCTGAGAACACAACACAGCCCCCGGTGAGAAGTCTGGAGGAGAACTAACTGCAGACTTCAATTGCGACAGCCTGGGGAAGCCGGGCTAAGAGAGTGACTCAAACCTTTACCAGCAGGGGATGCAGAGTGAAGGCTACGGGGCTGGAGAATACCTCATACCTTGATGGGCAGGAGCACTTCCACATCTCCCAAGGGCAAGTTGGCACTGCGGGGATCAAACCGTACTTCAAACGTTTCTGTCTCACAGTAGGGCAGGTTCTTCACGCGGTCCAGTTCTACGCTGAAACCTTGAACAGATAACAAAACCACTTAGAACCTAAGGTCTGTAGAAAGCATGATGCATGTGAGTCGTAGTGTAACTACGCCTCGCAGCTGTCACAATACAGCCCTCCAGAACTTACTGGTGACAGAGTGACGGACAGCAGATCCCTCTGCTCCAAAAGCATAGGTACCAGAGGGAAAGGAGAATCTCCACTGGCTGAAAGCACTAGGGCCTATGACACAGCCGGGGTGGCTCCAGGCACCAGCGCACCAAGTGAGTGCCTGGGGGTGGCAAGCCGCGGGGGGCGGTGTGTCAGTTGCCATGAGGGTGGCAGTCAGGCAGCCTTTGGCGGCATGCCTGCGGGAGGTCTGCTGGTCCCACGGTTTCGGCGGCAATTCTGCGGCGGGTACGCCTAAGGCGCGGGACCGGCGGACCTTCCGCAGGCATGCCGCCGAAAGCCGCCTGACTGCCGTGCTTGGGGCGGCAAAATACATAGAGCCGCCCCAGACACAGCACAGCAGTTCTGATTCTACTTAGTAGAAACACACACACACACACACACACACACACACACACACAGCAAAGCTGAGCCAGTGTGAACACTTGTACACATCCTGGCTAGTCTCCTGAGTTTCTCATGGTTGGGGATTTATATGAGTGATCCCTGTTAATGCAAAGAGCAACTTTACATACAAAGCACTGCACATCAGAGTGTGAAAATGCAAGTCACTATTCAGCCAGTAAAGCACCAGAAACCCCAACCCACAATAACAGAGCACAGGAGAGACCTATCTGCTCTGCATGTATGTGGGCAGGCCCCCTCACTTTGCTCTTCAGCATCCCAAGTGTTTGGAACAAGTTACTGAGCTGCTGAAATCCCTCTTATTCTGACTCTCTTCTGCAGAGATTCCAAATCAGCAGCTCCCTGCCAGACACCCCAGAGGTGGCTTTAAGGACCTTTCTCCCAGCACAGTCACTGCTTTCTAACAGGACTTGGCTAAGAACTGGTTGACCCTGTAATTTTAAAGCAAAACGTTGAAAACAAACACCCAGACGTTTTCATTAGTGTTATAAAAGGGGATGATTATTTACTGTTGGTAGCACTGGAGCAGTGAGGGCCCCTATGATCAGAACGTCATTGTGCTAGGCACTGTACATGCACAAAACAAAGTAATCAGAGCCTGGCATGTGAGTCTAAAATGCAGGTTTAACAACAAAATAAGCGCTGTGCTCAAGTCTCCCATGAACGAGGTGTGTCTGTGTGCTTCCATGCTGCAAACCTGCATTCCAGCTATCAGACGGAGGGAGACCAGGCCACAGGCCAAGCTGCAGTAAGGGGAGGAAAGAAGGAGCTGACTGCAGCATCATCTAATTGCCTAATGACTGATCCCTGGAGAAACACTGACACTGATCATAAAGGATGACTCTGGGCCCAATCCTGCTCCCATTAAAGTCAACAGTAAAGCTTCCATTGATCACTTAGGGAGCAGGAACAGACTTGATAGAGTCTGGTCTGGCTTCTCTCCTGCACTCAGAGCCACTCAGCCCTGGAAGTGGGCTTAGGGGCTGCTCTCATTTATGCCAGTTGGCTATGATCCCTATGGGACCATCGGCCAGCTGAGAATCGAAGGAGCACAGACACGCTCCAACTTTTCCCCACCAACAGGGTGTGTGGGCGGGGCATTGGCTAGGAGCTGGTATGCTGAGAGCTGCCCTGCCCCAGGGGAACCTGGCTCTCTGTCCCTCCAGCTGAAGTAAGAGTTGGCAGAAAGGCAGCTGGGCGAGGGCGGGTGGGGTGAGCGTTACTGGACAGAGGCGAGCGTAAGAAACAGCAAGCCCCAATGGGAAGAGGTGGGATTTCCCATAATACATCTGCACATTCAACAGATTTTGAACTATTGCATCAGACTGAGATGGTTCATTCCATCTTTGATTCCTGCTGCCATTTAGTTAAAGCCCACAAAAGCATCTCATCCCCATTACCTGTATCATGCAGGGCCCGTCTGTCTGCATGGAAGGATACAGGGAACTGGCTGGTGTTGGTGATTTTGACAATGTGAGTTCGGATGTTACCAAGAATGATGTAGCCAAAGTCCAAGATGTATTCAGGCAGCTGAGCTCTGAAAGAGTTAACGAGAGCTCAGTTTCAGTCAGTCCTGTGCTCAGCTGCGCTGTATTTTCAGAGAGGAGCAAGTCCCCTGGTTATAGCACCATTCACTGCTTTGAAAATTCAGCCTTAAGTGCCTAACCCCAGGTCTAAATTCCCAATGATGTGTCATTAGCAGCTTGTCTACATGGGCAGCAGTGCAGGATTTCTAAAGTACCCCAATGTGTTGCATGCTAACTGGCCCGTGTGGAGCCTGCTGGCATGAACTAAAAGGTCCCTAGTGCATATGAATGTAATGCTGGGTCAGCCAAAATTGCTTCAATACATTTCAGTGAAGTTTCTCTGCACTGTAACCATGTTTCACCCATGCCAACGCCCTTAGAATGCAGCACTCAGCCCCTAGATAGGAGGCGAGGCTCTTCCAAAGCAGGCCCGTTCCTCGTTGGTGCTAGGGCCGCACTTGAGGAAGGCATCACTATTCCGGAGAGCACTAAAGCATACCAGGAACCCTACGCACATGCTTAGGTGCAGGTGAAGTCAAAAGCACAAGCATGTTCCTGAATCACGGCGTAGCCGACCAGGGGAGATGTCTTTGTCTCATTCAAGGAGGGATAATGAGAAGACTTGTTGGTCTGTGCACCCCTGTGATCCCACCAGTAGCCAAGCTCCTTGGGCTAAGTCTTGTCCAGTTGATATCTGTGTAATTCCCAGTTCCTAAACTCAGCAGTGGAACATTTTCCTGCTGTTATGCCCAGTCTGGTCAGCTTGTCATGTGAAGCCTTCTGCTCCATGGCCCATCAGCAGCAATGGTTATTACCCAGTCTGAACTGGTTTGATGGTCTCTGGCTGTTGCCAGTAATGATGCCTTAACCTGGCAAAAGGCGATTTGACTTTAATAAATTTGACTGACTCTGCTGGGCTGAGAGCTGGAGACAAAACCAGCCCAGCAACCCCAGGAAGACATTTGTAGTCAACAATGGAATTGCTGAATCTTTTGCAAGGAATGCTACACATTCCAACCAGCGAGCTGCAGAGGGACCCCCAGGAGTCGGAATCGGAACCAGTCCTGAATTCCAAACTCTGGCACTATGAGGTGCTGAGCACCCGCAGGCCCCAGCAATGTCCGTGGGAATTGAGGACACTCAGCAGCTCGCAGGAGGTGTGCAGCATCCCATAGGGGCAGACCCTTGCTGAGGTGCAGAGCTATTGCCACGTGGTTCTGTGGATGCAGGCACCCTGCACAGGCCAATAGGCAACAGGCCATCACTAACTTGATAAGCTTTCGGCGAGCACGCTGGCTGAGGGTGGAGTCCTCCGTGGGATCAGAGCTAATAGCTTTCTGCTGCTCCAGGGCATGTTCTTGTATGAGCAGCCGCTCCACTTCCATCTGCAGCCAAGTGTCAAACTGGGGAAAGCAAAGAGAGTAGCTGGTCAGCAGAAGCCCTCTAGATCAGTGCTTCTCATAGGACCGGCAATTTTTTTTCCCAATGTGCCAGGGACCAGTGCCATATTATTATCCTATTCGACGCTCTTATGAGGAAACTCGCCGCGGATCGGCAGCCGATGGCTTGCGGACCAGCACCGGTCCGCGGACCACCACTTTGAGAAGCACTGCTCTAGAAAGCACAAGCTCTTCCCGGAAGGCAGGCCCCCATTCTCATTGTGTGCAATCTCTGTCATCCCTTCCACAAGGCAAACACCTGTCTCACTGCTGAGTCTGGATGTAGCTCCCCACCATTCTCCCTACAAGTGCGACAGCGGTGCAGCGCAGTAGCGTAGAAACTTCATACATCTATGGAAGGGTTTTCTGTCGATGTAGGTAATCCCCCTCCTCGAGCAGCAGCAGGCATGTTCACGGAAGAACTCTACCATCGACCTAGCCATGTCTACACCAGAGATTACGGTGCCTGAGGGGGTGATTTTTTTCACACCCCCAAGTGACGTAGTGAGGCTGATCTAATTTGTAAATGTTGATCTGGCTGTAGTCTACCAGCAAGCCACCTTGCCTGGAGATAGCATAAGAGATCAGTCTGGTAAATGACCTGGTTTTCTGTCTGGCTAGTCAGAATTAAAAACTGAGTAGCCAGGCAAATACACAGGCCAATTACCAGACAAGACAGGAAACTTTCAATATTCCAAGCACCTGTCTGTCCCCGGTGGAGGACTGGAATGCACTAAATGGTCACTATTAAAGAGAAATGCAACAGGCCCCTACAAGGGAGGACCACTCCAATCACTGATACGGGCTGGACTGTAGTAAATCTGATGGCAGAAGGGTGAACACCTGTCTGTCTAACACAGCTAATTGTGGGAGTACAGATTTAAGGTGTGACATGATAGGATACAATGTAATGCAATTTTACGTAGGTTTTCCCACCCAGGGAACTATTTTAAATGCTCTTTGCCATCGCCATGAGTCTATACAGAATACAGACTGCAATGCATTGAAAACAGAAAGATCCAGGAACGTAATGATAATCTAGAATTCAACTGAATATCATTACAGAGACCTGAGGGAATCGAGCTACTGACGAGTGGGTATTTGTTGGAGTGGAAAGTCCCACCCAGAGTTGTTTATAACTTCACATTAACCGTTGGGGAGAGGATGAGAAAGAGAACAAACCACACATGACAGATGTGAGTCATGTCACTTCATGCACGTCTGATGCTACCGTGATGAGCATGGTTATAAGAACATACGTAAACAAGACTCTGGAACAGATTCGATTGGAGACTCAAATGGTTCAGTTCTCTACGATCAGGTGAATCTAGAAATATTGGGTCTGAGTAGGACACACAGCCCTCCCCACACCAGCAACCAGCTAAATCCCCATTACCAAACACTGACACCGCCCCAAAGGTTTACCAGCGCTGTACACCGCAGAACGAAGGCATGCTCCCAGCCGGGAAGAGCCACTGCCAGAGCTAATTGAGTACAAGATACCCAAGCTAGCAGAGATCACCTGTCATACGGTACTTCCTTTCATAAGCTTCCAAATGCTACACACCGGTAGCATGCTGAGTGTTGTGCTGCACCAGGCACCTAGAGAACCAGGCACAATGTTTATGCCTTTGTCTCATCCCTCTCTTGGCTGTGCACTTCTTTGGGCTCAGCCCTGCAGTGTTTACTTGCAGCTAGTCCTACTGCAAGTCAATGGGACTACTCAGGTCAGTATGGGCTGCAGGGTCAGGCCGTGTATTATTGAGATTGTTACATTTTCTGAAGAGCATTATCTAATGCAACTACAGTAGTTACAAACTGTAGGCACGTTCACCGTGGCAGGTGACTGTGGGGGTGGATAACCTACCAGGGATGCAGCTGCAGTGACACAAACTGGATACAGGGCCAGTCACCCCGTGGAGGTGGGGGCATTCAGAGTCAGTACTGGCTGCAGAGAGGTGTGGCCAGGGCAGCAGGAAGCACTTAAAGGAAACAACAGCCTTTCTTACCATGGTGCCAGACTGGTCCATGGATGGCTCTGCAGCCATTGCATCTGGGTGGCCAAGTGCCTCATCTCTCTGAGTCTCTCCTTCTATTCTTTGTTTTGCCTCCTTGAGGATATTCTCATACCTTTCATTTCCTGTAGGAGAAACCAATGGGTGGTCAGGAAATAAGCACAGGTTATAGCCAGATTCTACCCCAGTTACACCCAGGAAACCTCGCTGAACCCTACCATGGCCCCCCACCTCTGAGACCCACTGAGGAAAATGCAGGGACGGTCCATACTTCCTTCCCTACAGATTAGCTCTCTCCTCCTGCAGCTCTGCCAACAGTTCTGTTCTCTCCCATTAGGTCCAGCGCTTATGATCTTTGCTCAACCTCTGACTTTCTTCTTAAAACTCCTCCCCTGTTTCTGTCCTCCTCCCTTCCCATCTAGGAACTTGCTGGTTCCTTCATAATCAAAATAGATACAACTGGCAAGAGCTCCTCCCCTGTCTTCTCCATCTTCCCCCCGTCTGACTCTTTTTGTCCCTGGCTCACCTGACATGGGTTCTCCCCGTACTGATTCCCCCCAGATCTACCTTGCTGACTCGATGTGTTTGCACAACAGTCACTGCCTCTCAATCTTGCTGTCCTGCCTCCAGCTCAAGCTAAGCATGACCCAGAGTGAGCCCCTCATCTTTCCTCGCAGGCTCGCTCCCTTCCTCCATTGTCCTCCCTGTCACTGAAGCAAACAACCTCAATGTCTGATCTGAGTCCTCTCTTCCCCCCACAAACCCCATTCAGGTTATTCCAAAACCCTTTCGACTTTTCCACTCCAGCATCGATCAAACCCGTCCTTCCCTCTGCAGCCCTGTGGTTATATCTCTTCTCCATCGCTTGGGGTCTTCTCCTGCCTTGACTAACCCCAGTCTCCTCCTCTCTGGCCCCCCACTTCCCTCCCCTTCAGTACATCCCAAATGCTGCTGTGAAAAAAACCTCTCCTCACACACCATGCAGAGCATGTGCCTTCCTCTCTGAATCCCTCCACCAGTCCCATCATCTTCCTCCTCAATACAAGTGTCTCATTCCCACTGAGCTGTGCCCCCTCCCTGCCCCCATTCCCTCCTACCCCACAACTCCTTGCTCACCTGGACCCTTTCTGGGCCTCTGTTGTATCACCTGGCTCTCTCAACGGTACGGTCGCTGGGGCAGAGACCAGATCCTCTCCTGCATTTGCTGCCATGTCAGTGCTCAATAAATACCACATGCCAATAGCAGCAGTTGACAGGTTGAAGATTTCGTTAACAATCCCCTGAGCCAATAGACTAGGTGGGGCCAAACAACCTGACTAGTGCTAGGATTGAGCTTGCTAAGTTTCTCCGATGGAGTTGCCTGCCATAGCAGGGAGTGGACTCCATAGCAGGGAGTGGACCCAGGAGGTCCCTGCCAGTCCTATGGTTCCCAGAACCTACATGTTCTTTGGAAGTACGTGGGATGGTGCCCTATGAACGCAAGGCAAGGAAGTACTGGAGAGAGCCTTCAGCGAGTGTCTGGAACTGAGCAGAAGAGGGAGCGGTGGGCAGGGTGTCCCTACCTTTAATGTTTCTGGGCAGATCCAGGCAGATCCTGGGGAAGGTTCCCTCTCCTTTCAAGGTGATGCTCTCTGGCTCCAGGTGGGCCACCTGTATCTGGAAGGTCTGTTGGAAGATCTCAGGCACGCCAGGCAGGTAATAGACCTTCAGCACTTGTTCTTTTTTGGATTCAATGTAGCCCTGCAGCAGGAGGGAGACAGGCAGGACATGGTACCGGGCAGAGAGTTCACTGAACACATGGGGATGCTGCCAAGAGCTGGGGTGGGGGCAAGAGGTGAGGAAGGGGGGGCATCGAGCTGAGCAAACAGAATGAGGGAAGTTGCTCTCACTGGATTCAAGTGACGTGTTGTAGCTTCCATACACCCAAAAGCACTCAAACTCAATCCTCTGTGTCAGAATACACTGTGAGGCCTACCCCGTCAGACCAGTTCTAATGCAGGACTGGATGTGCCCTGGGTGCCTTCAGGGTGCACTGCTGGCTGATTCGGCTCAGAGAGGGGACAGACTATGCCCAACCAGCTCCACAGCCCCAATTTACCCCACTCCCTTTCAGGCAGCTTGCACCCAAGAGGGTAACAGCCAACAGGGACCAGGCCCTGTGCCCCCACCCTCATCCACATTGCACAGGGCTGTGAGTGGGGGAAGAGAGGCTGCCTGTGCCCGTCACACTTGGTCACCCAAGCAGGCCCACAGCTAGGTGCTAGGCTTGGGAAAGTCTTTTCTAGGAAAATACTTCATTCCTGCTGGCAAAGGGGAAGTGTTTTCATTCGCCTGCATGGAATCCCGGGTGTGGCAAACCACTGCAGTAGCTGGGCACATCCAGTAGGTTGCTGGGCCGGAATTGTGCAGGGTGCACATTTCAACACAGCAACTTTCTGGAGAAGCTCACCCAGGCAGCAAGAGGAAGGGGGGCCGAGTGGCTAAGTTGCTAGCCTGGACTGGGGAAACCCAGGTTCAATTCCTTTCTCCCTTACTAACTTCCTGTGTGACCTTGTGCCAATCAGTGAAGGTAGGTCTGTCTTCATAGCTGCTGGGAGCTATAATTCCCAGCTCACGTAGATGTACCTACATGAGCACCCTTAAAAACAGCAGCGTGGCCCTGGTGGCCCAGGCTAGCCACCCACGTCTGGAGCCGGAAGTGTTGAACGCGGGTGGCAAGCCCATGCTGCTGCAGCCATGCAGTTATTTTTAGGCACTAGGGGATTACACTTCCCAGCTGCTGTGTAGACGTTCCCTTAGTCTCTCTGTGCTGCAGTTCCCCATCTGTCAAAAAATGGGGCGAAGAGCACTTCCCTGCCTCACCAGGGTGCTGTGACAATAACGACATGATGCTCAGATACTATCGCTATGTAAGTACATGTGACAAAGCGTGGCGTCACCTAGAACGTACTGGCCCTGCCAAACCCCAAACCCCGTTCCCTAACATGGAGCTTTTATTGTACCTCCCCCACCCCTCGCTCCATCAGTTAACATCCAGGGCCTGATTGTCACTAACTAGAGGCCCATTTGCACAACCACCACTGCCTGCACACTTACAGCCTGTGTGTGAGTAAATCAGGGATGATGCCTGTGCTCTTGACTAGATAAGGGATGGCTGGCAAGGACACTTTAGGAACACAAGGGCCTGAATGTGTGGGGAAGTTTTGCTTGAGTTGGGCCAGAAGGGAAAAATAACTCTTGACACCCATAGCGCAGAGTGATGTCCTTGGTTTCTGTAATGGCAAAGGGCAGAATTAAGGTCACTGATCTTCACTACCCCATAGCAGCAGACATCACATGATCCACTCCTCCCAATAGCACTGAGGGGGAAGGACCACGAGAGAGAGAAATGAGAAAGCACTGGCCCTGGTCCTACCATTAAGGCAAACTAGGCGGTTGCCAAGGGCGCTAAGATTTGGGGGTGCCAAAAAGCAGTGCCCCAATTTTTTTTTACAGCATTCCTGGGCTGGGCTGCCGGCGGCACGCTGACACGTGCAGCTCAGACTCCCTCTCCTAGCGCAGCAGCCGCTCCACTTCTCCCGCCTCCCAGGCTTGCGGCGCCAATCAGCTGTTTGGCGCCGG